CATTCTCTTCCGTTTTTCGTTATTAATTATTGTAGTAAACAAATAATAATAATCAGAGGGTTGCTAGTCTCTCTTTTGTCGAGAAAAGTTCATTAAACCTTGCCCCTTTTTTAAAATGACTAAAGGGATTACCAAAAAACTCACCCGACTTATTATTTCATTCTCTTGTATCACATAGAACAAGATGACCGGTATAAAGTGATACCATATCGTTGTGACCATCATAGCAGTTAGATTTTTAGTTCGTGAGATTAAATTCCTAATCAATTCCCACTAGTCTCTGATTGGTTAAGACACCTCCCAACACATAAAGCAAAACTACACGTCTATTGGTGACCTATATTAATTATACAAAAAACAGAAGTGGTGGATGGTGACTAGCAGTGGAATCCAGGATGCGCGTCTTGCTCTATTTTGGACTCGTCAACTGGATATACCTGCATTCTCCAGTCACTGAGTGATGATATTCCACCGCCAAGGTTCAAACCTGGTGGGCAGAGTTTCAAACGCTAAGGTGTTATCCACTGAACCACTTGGGCCACGAGAGCCACGTCTTGTGCAATGGGTCATATTGATTATTTAATTCAATTTTAGATTTTCCGTCGATTGACTGGACCGAACTGCTCGGTCACAGGTTGACATGTTGGCTTCTTGTGCAGATGGTTCGACGGTGTCTAGGCATGTAATTAGAATTTAATTGATAGGTAGTGACAAGCAGTAGAATCCAGGATGCGCATTTCGTCCTATTTGGGACTGACTCGTCAACTGGATGAAGTTCAACAGATTACAGTTTTTACGTATTGAACGGGTGTTAGGCAGTAAACCTAGATATAGTCGTCTTCATAGAAATATGTCAGATAGTAAGTAAACATTGGCAAATTATCTTCTGTCTAATGTAGCATAAGACTATAGACTACAAAATGATAAGCAAAGCATAGTTGTATACGAAATCTTTGTTTAAAATCCTCACTGATTAAATCGCCACTAAATTGCTACTACTTGAAAAATCTTTTGCTAATGGACATCCTTCGCATTAGGCTTATGACTTCGTAGGCTTTTTCTTAACACTCAGCTGTTTCCGTTTCTCAACTGATAGGTTATGTGAGTTTGGTTACTCACATGTATTCCAAAGTTTTATTTCAGAAATGTAATTTTGATTTGAAATTCTCAAAAAAAAATACCTAAATGATTATAAGCTACTCATCAGAAAAATAATGATGACTTCAATATTCCCAGAAATACGGATAATGACTAATACTCAGTAAACAACAGTGTGTAGAGGAAACTGCAAATTCATCCAGTGAAATCTTTCACTTACAGTAAATTTCGAACACTGGAACAGTGAATTAAAGAATCGTGTAGCCTTGACCACACATTCTTCATGTAATAGACTATGAACCACAATATTTTTATTGAGGCTAATCATTACTGTTATTATATTATCCCCTTAGTTCTCAGTAGAACATTGGGTTTCAACAACACATCTCCACTTTGTTCCGTTGTTTTCTGCTGTCTTCCTCTGCTGACTATGCCTGCGATTGCCCATAATCTCTCATCCCCTCTTCCCCCTCATACAATCTCCTCCAGATCAACCTCAATGTGACGACCCACTCGTCGTTTCCCGTTTAGGTTCCACTTCGGGCGATGACTTGCATTGCGCGCGGTATCATTCGACGGCCTCCTCAACCTATGCCTGACCCATTTCCATTTTCTCCTGTTAAGCGATTGGCTCTTGGTTGGTTGGTTGGTTTGTTACCAGCCAGAGTTTCTTGTTGCTAATTCTTTCTGGCTGGCCGGCTGGCAATATGATCTTTAGTATGGAGCCAGCGGAGAAGGCAACTGTTTCATAAAAATCCGTAGTGACCTTCTGAAAATGCTTTTCGTGATGCGCCAAGTCTTTGAACAATACTAACGAACTGACTGACTCCATATTTGTGTTTAAAATCCTCATTTTGTTCCTGATACTGAGGTGGAGTGCAGGAGATTTCCAAACTGACTTGAGAATGATGAAGGTCTGCTTCGCATTTCCAATTCTGGTTTCAACATTCTCACCCATACCTCTGTATGTAGTCGGGACAATGCTCACTGTGTTGATAAGTGAAGGAAGTGACCTCTGTTGAATCTCTCCGGTTGATAGGGATTGGCACTGTTTGTTGTAGCTGTTAGTGGTGGTTGGTTATTTGCATCACCTCCGTCTCCACCTTCCCTATGTTCACCAGGAGTCAGCGCTGTCTTCGCTGCCAGCCAGTCTCTTCTGCCAGTTTGTTGATTTTCGCCTGTCTGAAAGTCTTTGAGTTTGTGTGAAACTAAACATAAATCATCCACATGCACAATCCAGATCTTCTAGATTCCTATTGTCAGTCAGTGCAGCATATTCCTGTCCTCACATTCCTCACACTTGGTGTTCCGCATAACCCTGTCCATCACAATTAAAAATATCATTGGTGATAATAGTTAGACAGCCTTCACGTCAGTATTCGCTGACTTTTCCGTTGTGGATCACTTGACACATGGCATGGTCACACAGCTATTTGTTGAATAAGGATGATAATAACTTGAGGCACTGCAATCCGTAGTGTTGACGCAGTTTCCAAGTTACTTCTCGGTCAACACTGTCTTTCGAAGGCCTTTTCGAAGTCGATGAAGTTGAGGTACGGGTTTGACTTCCATTCTATGCTTTGTTCAGTGACGATGATGATGATTATGCGTGTAATTGCGATTCGATCAGCCCATTATTTACCTTCCCTGAATCCAGCTTGTTACCGTTGGGGGTTGGAGCTCAGGGCATCTTCTGTTTTCTCCAGAAAGACATGACTTAGTAATTTGCTTGGCGTGGACAACAGCATTATCCTATGCCAGTTTCTGAAGAGGCCAAACTAGATCTGCCTTCTGTCGTAGTTTGATAAGCCAGCCTTTCTTCCAATCAGTAGCCACCCATCTTTTCCTTCAAGACTTTTTGAAATAATGGTGCCAGCATATCTGATGCAGTCATGAAGGTTAATCATACCACCTAATTATCTAGCCTTAAGTAGATGGAACAGAATTTGAGTCAAAACAAAACCTATTGGTTGAAAGTCGATTGCTTAAGCCACTTAGCTCCATCCTTAATAGAAGAGACACTTCTGCAATATAAGGATACAACTGTTAACTCTTGTCCTAGGACTTTCAACTTTCTCAAGTCGAAAATTATTTCCTTATTTCATTTATACTGATATCATTTCATATAGTGGAGTGATAACCACTTTAGCCTTTCTTTTGTTCTATTCATAATGAGTTGTTTATGTTGCTTTATATGTTCCTTCTTTCATATATTTCTAAAATGATGAAGTTGATAATTAAAAAGGTTATTCACAGTCACACAAGCTGCTTATTTCTGCATGCTCATGAATTGAGAACAATACAAATGTTATTTCGGCTGAAATCTAATTGCTCTCTGTTGGTATGATGAACTGTTTGTGTTTGTCATTCCATCAGTAAAGACTCTATACACTGTGAAACCCTATCGAAAGTTTACTAGGCATTTATGATTTTTTTTTTTTTGATTTCGTTTTGATATCTCTGACCTCATTAATTTACTTTACTGTAGTAATATGGGCTCTCTGTGTGTGAATTTGCTTCGATACTACAAGGAATAAGAAATGCACGTCACATGTTCGCCGGTGGCTAGCGATAGAATCCAAGATGCACGTTTATTCCCATTTGCGATACGGGGATAAAGCTGTGGCATTTAAAGTGATAGGTATGGGGTTTGACTTTCAGTAGAAACACTGTCATTCAATGAAGTGCAAGTATACCTTACTGATGAGTCCCATATAGAACGAAACTTGTCTCCTGGATTCTATTTCTACCCACCATCAAACGAGTAACACTAGGTTCAATAATGATTCTATTCTTTGAGTTCGATTTTTCCCTTTATGTTCTCAGGGGAACATAAGGCTTCAAGCTAGAGCTTTGAATCTTCGATAGTAGTGGTTTTATTTTCCGAGGGATGAAATTGCAAGCCTCGTATCTAACTTTCCCTTTTTCATCGACCTTATCACTGACTTAAGGAGGTTTAGGAGTGAATGAGGCAGGAACAAGACTTTGAAACACGTGAGGGGTTGCTGAGCCTTCTGCCACTGACCCACGGATGCTGTGAGTTTAATTAGTGACGTAAATCTGGTTCATTCCTTATTATTTGTATAACGATGTTTGGATTTTTTACACATCAGTCAAAATAAATTATATACGGAATTATAAATTACTCCTTTTTGACAAATGTGACTTTCAAGTAATAGTTTTGTAGGGATTTTGTTTGATCGGTTGGAGGAGTTCATCATGAGCTGACACCAGTTACAGAACCACTGGAAAACCTGGGAGTACTGGACAGCTGTTTCGTCCTAGCTTTGGACTCTTCAGCGGCACGCACCCACTGACCTTTGAACCCAGGACCTTCTAATTACAAGACCAACGAGCTCTTTGACCATTCAGAGCCACCGTGACCCAATCCAATGGCCCACAAATTCTGACTTCTGCCGATTCTGGAAATAGTGTAGCCATTTCACAATGCTTTCTTCGATGAGTTACTGCCTCATCTTCAACTTAATTACAGATCAGAAATGAAACTTGTTCTTAATATTATACAAAACTGTATGTCCTTTGTAGGGAAAACGACTGAATTCATTTCAATTCTTATCATAAACTGTTATCAGAAAGGGAACCACTGAACATGATACAGCATTTAACAGTTGTTCACAGCCCCGCAGTATGAATGGAGCTATAAAGTAGGACAAAAGTGACTGGATTCACTGGTATCTTTCGCCAATTCACTGTAGTTTTCCTGGTATGTTACTCCAGTTCTCTGGGAGTAATACGCCTTAATAATTTAAAAATCGCGACAGTGATCAATAATTTTGACTCATCCCAACAGTAAGTGAATACAACATTGTTGAGGTTAAGTTGTTTTAAAATATTTTTTTTCAGACGCTTATCTCTTACTTTTCATCATTTGATTTCTTAAGGTATCTTCCCAAAAAACTTCAGTCAATAATTCCTCCAGTGTATTGGATAAGTCCAGTCGGTTAAAACCTCATAAACCAAGTAGCCCAGTGGCTAGTGGCGATAGAGCATCACGATTAAGCCAACGACGTCATCATCATAGCCAACAGCAACAGCAGCAACACCAAGAAATGGTAAGTTCGAGAAGGCATTACACAAGTGATTACGACTATAATGTAATATTAAAAGTTGAATCAGTCTGACTCAGTATGCTAATGATGGTTTAAGATTTTCTTCGGTTCCATCTATCATATAATTGTAACCTTAGGTGGAATGAAAAGTTTATGATAGTGATAATGGAACGCAATGCAAGCATAACACCGCAAAAGCGGAATTTGTTGAGACTGACCCGTCTACATTTAGCCGTTTAGAAGTTTTTCTTTGAAGATATGAAAAGACATCATGGGTTGGCTGAATTTTTCAAAGTTAATTTCACTTGTTTTTCAAAAGATGAAATATCCTGGTTCTTTCATATGAAGTGTGATCAAGATTTGATCGAATATTTCCGAAATAATTGGGCTCTAAATGCTAAGTGGACATATGTAAAAGCTATATTTGTAAAATCTCAGCGAAATGGAAATGAATAATTTCAACGTGGTCCTAACTTCTTAAGGGAAAGCCAAAAAAATCGGACATTCAGCACATCTCTTTACCACCAAAGTAACTGTGGTCAACAATCTGGTCAACAGAGCCGAACGTATAGTTATCGAGGAGGGAGAGATCACCAGGAGACTAAAATTGGTTCAGTTCACTCTTGAATCAAATAATTACCCTAAAGCATTTATAAAAAGACATTTAACATGTGAACTTGAGGATGAATCGAAACCTGTTGACAAGACTTGGGTTAGTAGAGTGGTGATTCCTTACCGAAAAGATACATCGGATGAGATAGAGCTAATCCGTAACAATTATGCCATGAGAGTGTGTTTTCGTGCAACTCACACCTTACGCTCATCACTGGTGAAGGTTAAGGATAAAATAGAAGAAGAAAACCAACATAATTTTGTGTACAAGAAAAATTGTGGGGATTGTAACGCCATATATGTGGGAGAAACTTCCAGATGGCTAAATATAAGAGTAAAGGAGCATAAACAATGTATAAATGTGGTTCCAAAGACCTCTAGAGACTTGAAGAATCCTGAAAACAGATTGACGATTACACTATACTAGATACAAATGGGACATTGATAGGACTAAGATTCTACAGAAAGCTTTTGGTTCTTAAAAAGAGAGACTGACTGCAGAAGCCCTACAAATACGGATGAATTTCAAAAGTTTGAACAGGTGTGAAGGTGTGATGTTAGCTGATGCATGGCAAATCCTGATCAACAAATAAAAATCGATGCGTATCACTAATCAATGATACTTCATGTAAATTTCCGATTGTCTGTATAGAGAGGCTAACAAATGATTTATAATTTCTGCCGCATGTATACGAGCACACAAATCATTGCGTACCACATATATACATGAATATTTTTCATATTCAGTTAGTCGAAGGTAATCACTACAATTCTGATGCAAAAGTACACACTGTTCACAGTGTTTAACGAAATTGGACTGATTTTTGTTAGTCTGAAGTCAAATTTTGATCACAGTTCATGCGATATCATATTTTGATGCCTGTATCATGAATTATATAACTGGACAAAGTTTTTAAAAATAAGAGATGTCCTATTAATTTATAAACCTTTCAGGTTAGACCCCGGAGTGACATCAGTTGGATAACCAGTGAAAAAAAGGAGGGAGTTCTGGACAGTTGTTCGCTCCGTCCTAGTTTGGGAATCATCGGCAGTACGCACCCACTGCCATGGTTCGAACCCAGGACCTTTTGGTTATAAGGAAAGCTTGTAGATCATTCAGCCACTGGAACCCGAGTCCTTAATGGCAAGAACATGAATTCTAACTTCTGCTAATTCGTGATTAAGCGCTACCACCGACCAGTGTCATCGGTGGCAACTCCATCCTCACTCCCGACTGGATAAACCTCGCTGGTTACGACTTCTCACTAGAACTGCAGGCAACTTCGTCCTGTTGCCAGTTACAAGCTAGCATCACATTAATTCTCGAAAATTAATTTTTAGGGATTGTAACTTTCTCAAGTGGTTGCGCTAAAATCACGATTTGGTAGGAGTTAGAATTCATGTTTTGGCCATTGAGGATTCGGATCCTAGTGGCTGAATGGTCTACAAGCTTGCCTGGTCACCTAAAGGCGCTGGATTCGAAACTCGTCGGGTGGATGCGTACTGCCGATAATTTCCAAACTAGGACGCAGCAAACAACTGTCCAATACTCCCTGCTTGTTTTCACTGGTTCTCTAACTGATACCAATCCGTTGTCGAATCTGAAATAAATACAATCCCTACAAACTAATTCTTGAGAATATGAACCTTTGTTATTTTTAATTTTGATTAATTTCCCTGAAGAAGTACAGAACAGTTTGTCTAACGAAAAGTTGGAATTACTCATTTCAATTTCGCTGAGATTTTTGCAGTTTATCGTTATTCTTTCATTAATCAAAACATTAAGTCAGAATTGAGACGGATTATGTACTGTACTGTACTACGGGGTCCCATCAACAATTATACATCTCATCCAACAGTTATACGACAATGCTGCATGCCAAGTAATCCACAACGGGAAACTTACGGAGGCCTTCGAAGTGAGGACGGGAGTGAGGCAAGGCTGTCTACTATCACCAATGATCTTCCTGATTGCAATTGATTGGATAATGCGACAGACAACGGCAACCAACGAGGGAACAGGCATAAAATGGACTGACACAAAAGACTTGGAGGATCTGGATTTCGCCGATGATATATGTCTGATTTCCCATAAACTGGAAGATATGCAAGTGAAAAGTAACGAGTTGGCAGAAGAAGCATCAAAGATAGGACTTCACGTGAACATAGATAAAACAGAGATGATGAAGATTCCTAGCCAACAGCAAAAACAACAACAGACAACAATCAGCATAAGTGGGAAGAACCTGAAAGAAACAACCTCCTTCACCTACCTACCTGGGAAGCATCGTTTCAACTACAGGCGGAACTGACGAGGATATCAAAGCCAGAATCGGAAAAGCAAGACAAGCTTTCATTACTCTCAAATCTGTGTGGAGGTCAACAGCACTCACCATCAAAAATAAGATCCGTATTTTCAACTCCAATGTGAACTCAGTCAGTGCTACTATACGGATCAGAGACTTGGCGAGTCATAAAGAGCATCTCCAACAAACTTCAAACCTTCATTAACAGTTGTCTCCGCTCAATACTCAAGATCAGATGGCCAGAAAAGATCAGCAACAGGGATCTCTGGGAGCGAACCAATCAGGAACCGATTGTGAAACAAATAGGCAGAAAGAAATGGAGATGGATTGGCCATACGCTGAGGAAACCATCAAGTGACATCACTAGACAAGCCCTCGAGTGGAACCCGAAAGGGAGGCGGCGAGTTGGTCGTCCAAGGGTGTCTTGGAGGAGGTCATGCGAGGAGGAGATGAAAGCATGTGGACATACCTGGGGCAGGGTGAAAAAGTTGTCAGGAAACCGAAGGCAATGGAGGTGCGCAGCTGAAGCCCTATGTTCCTCTAGGAACTAAAGGATACAATAATAATAATAATAATAATGTACTGTATGGCTTATTTTAATCTACATGCAGGATTCGTGGGATGTTGTTTCTTTTCTCCCACTAGTTACCAGTATTTGTAGTTTTGTTCAAACATGATAGATTTATATTTTACATTGGTTTGAAATAGACGTGAACGAATGTTTGTAACAAATGATTGTTGAAATGGAATTTTAGGAATTCGTGTGTTTTTTTTACGCTTCCTAAGGAGAAAAAGAAGAAGAAGAAGAAGTCTGACTGTTCCCTACTTCATTCTTTCTGGAATGTTGTAATTTGATGCATTCGGATAAATGTCAACTCAGTTAGTATTTTATGTCTAAATTGTTTTATAAAGTGCCATTTAACTATGATGGTAAATGACGAACACTATTTAGTGGAAACTATTTGTGGAATTCAATTTCAAACAAAATGGCAGAAGTATTTCAACTGTTTCATTGAGACATTATTTGAAGCGAAATGATATATTTTTGTATCTAAAATGTATTTTCTTCTGTCAGACTAGAAATAACATGGGAATAAATTACCGACTAAAAGACATCTAAAGAAGGGGAAACAGCTGCGTGGGTGTGTGCGTGAATTTCAATATATTCCTATATGTATAGCTCAATAGGGAAGGGTAATTACAAGCGGAATGGTAATTCCCATAATTTGTAGATAAGTATAAGCACAAAAAAAATAAGTGAATTTGTTTAAATTACTTATCAATGCAGAGTTAATCAATGGTTGTAAAGAGTGGGAAATTTCAAATTTTAAATAGCTTCACGCAACCTATCATTAACATTTTCCCATTTGTTTTGGAATGACTTCAAAAAAAAAATAAAAATAACGTCTATATCACGATATCGTTATTCATACACATCACTCCTGTGAAAAATTCTTCGATTATATGGTTCCAGAGGCTTATAGAATGTCTGTTTGAATACTGTCTTCCATTCAAAGATTCCTTCCGTCTCCGGGCATCACTACATTACCTATCCCAGCAGACAAAGCCTAGGCTTGAATTGATCGATTAAAAAACTGCCTCCGCTGTTCATAAATTGCAGAATTCACCTCTTTTTTGTATCATTCCGTTCAACTTCTCTGATCCTTTTAGATGAAGCACTTAACAGATCGGTCAGACTTGAGAAATTCAGATATTTTGAGGGTCAGGCTAGTGATCCACTGACATAATGTGTATCTTGTGGAGTTATATTTGAACAAATATCACAAACTACTTACTTTATAGACACAATAATGATTCGCATCACTGTCAGGAGGACATTATGCATCAATCAACAACTCACTTCTGAAGCATTTAGTAAATTTGAATCAAACAGACTTACCGGAATATCAAATAAAATGTAATTATATTTCAATAGTTTACACACAATGATAAGTTTTGTTATTGGTAATGTTTCGAGCAAAATTACTGCCCGTGTTCACACCACTGTTGGAATTGTTTGATTCACACATTTATGGTTTTTACTCAAATATATAGTTCATCATTATTTTTTTTCTACGAGTTGAT